ATTTCAAATAAAAGACCTAACACTGCAACGTCAAGAACTGGAGAAACAACAACAAATAAATCCCAGAGCAAGTAGAAGGAAGGAAAGAGTCAAGATTAGAGCAGAACTGAATGACATAGAGACGAAAAGAACAATTCAGAGGATCAACCAATCCAGAAGCTGGTTCTTTGAAAAGATAAATAAAATTGACAAGCCTTTAGCAGATTCATCAAGAGAAAAAAGGGAGAGGACCCAAATTAATAATATCAGAAATGAAAGAGGAGAAATAACAACTGATACCACAGAAATACAAAGGATTGTCAGAGACTACTATGAACAATTATATGCCAAGAAATTTGAAAATCTTGATGAAATGGACAAATTTTTAGAAAAGTATAATCTTCCAACACTGAAGGAGGAAGAAACAGAAAGCTTGAACAGACCGATAACAGCTGGGGAAATGGAAGCAGTCATCAAGAAACTGCTGGCACACAAAAGGCCAGGGCCGGACGGTTTCACAGGAGAATTTTACAAAACACTTAAGGAAGAGCTAACCCCTGTCCTCAGACTATTCCAAAAAATCCAAGAGCAGGGAAGACTCCCAGACTCTTTATATGAGGCCAGCATCACCCTGATCCCAAAACCAGATAAAGATCCTACAAAGAAAGAAAACTACAGGCCAATTTCGCTGATGAACATAGATGCTAAAATCTGCAACAAAATATTGGCAAACCGCATCCAGCAATACATTAAAAACATTATCCACCACAATCAAGTGGGATTCATCCCAGGGATGCAGGGATGGTTCAATATATGCAAATCAGTAAATGTGATACATCACATAAATAAAGGAAAAGACAAAAACCACATGATCATCTCAATAGACGCAGAAAAAGCATTCGATAAGGTACAGCACCCATTTATGACCAAAACAGTTAGCAAAATAGGAATAAATGGGGCATTCCTCAATGTAATAAATGCCATATATGAAAAACCTACAGCCAATATCATACTCAACGGGCAAAAACTGAAAGCTTTCCCACTAAGATCAGGAACACGATAAGGATGTCTGCTCTCACTGCTTCTTTTCAACATCGTATTGAAAGTCCTAGCCACAGCGGTCAGACAAGAGAAAGAGATAAAAGGCATCCAAATAGGAAAGGAGGAAGTAAAGCTATCATTGTTTGCAGATGACATGGTAGTGTACATAGAGAACCCTATAGACTCTACCAAAAAACTCCTCAAGCTAATAAGTGAATTTGGCAAAACAGCAGGATACAAAGTCAACATTCAGAAATCAAAGGCATTTTTGTACACCAACAATGAAATAAAAGAAGAAGAAATCAGAAAAAAATATCATTCGATATATCATGAAGAAAAATAAAGTACCTAAGCATAAATTTAACCAAAGAGGTAAAAGACCTGTACACAGAAAACTATACAACATTGAAAAAAGAAATTAAGGAAGACACAAATAAATGGAAGCATATACTGTGCTCATGGATTGGAAGAATTAATATCATCAAAATATCCATACTACCCAAAGCAATTTATAGATTCAACGCAATCCCTATTAAGATACCAATGATGTATTTCACAGAAATAGAACAGACATTCCAAAAATTTATATCGAACCATAAACAACCCCGAATAGCTACAGCAATTTTGAGAAAGAAACACAAAGTAGGAGGAATCACAATACCGGGCATCAAACTCTACTACAAAGCCACTATACTCAAAACAATCTGGTACTGGCACAAGAACAGACCCATCGACCAGTGGAACAGAATAGAAAGCCCAGAAATAAGCCCAGGTCTATAAGGGCATCTAATATTTGACAGGGGGGGCAGAAGCATAAAATGGAGCAATAATAGCCTCTTCAACAAATGGTGTTGGAGAGCTGGACGGCTACATGCAAAAAATTGAAATTAGATCATCAGCTGACACCATACACAAAAACAAACTCAAGATGGATAAAAGACTTAAATATAAGTTGCAACACCATCAAAGTCCTCGAGAAGAACATTGGCAGGAAACTCTCAGGTATACCACGCTGCAATTTTTTCACTGATATGTCCCCTAAAGCAAGGGACGTAAAGGAAAGAATAAACAAGTGGGACCTCATCAAAATATGAAGCTTCTGCATGGCTAAAGAAAACATCAGCAAAATGAAAAGGGAGCCAATCCTATGGGAAAATATATTCGCTAATGATACATCAGGTAGAGGTTTGATCTCCAAGATATATAAAGAACTCACTCGACTCCACTCCAAGAAGACAAATGATCCAATCAAAAAATGGGCAAAGGACCTGGGCAGACGCTTTTCCAAGGACGAGATACAGAGGGCCCAGGGACATTTGAAAGGATGCTCGGCATCACTAGCCATCAGAGAAATGCAGATCAAAACCACAATGAGATGCCACCTCACACCGGTCAGAATGGCCACCATGAACAGATCCACAAACAGGTGCTGGCAAGGCTGTGGAGAAAAGGGAACCCTAGTCCACTGTTGGTGGGAATGCAGACTGGTGCAGCCACTGTGGAAAGCAGTGTGGAATTTCCTCAAAAAGCTGAAAATGGAACTGCCTTTTGATCCAGTGATTCCCCTGCTGGGACTATACCCTAAGAATACCAAAATGCCAATACAGAAGAACCTATGCACCCCAATGTTCATAGCAGCACGATTTACAATAGCCAAGTGTTGGAAGCAATATAAATACCCATCAGTGGATGATTGGATCAAAAAATTATCGTACATTTACAGAATGGAATACTATGCAGTAGAAAGAAAAAAAGAACTACTAAACTTTGCGACAGCATAGATGGAACTACAGAGCATTATCCTAAGCAAAATAAGCCAGGTGGTGAAAGACAAATGCCATATGATCTCACCTATAAGTGGAACCTAACCAGCAGACACTGAAATAATAATAATAATAAATAAGATCAGCAACACTGAAAGCAAAAGAAACCAACAGAGACAAGAGGGGAGGATGGAAGGGTGGACGGGGGAAAAGGAAGGGAAAGGGAAGAGTCAAGGAACATACAGCAAGGACTCATGGACAAAACCAAAGGGGAAGAGCTGAGGGAGAGAGAGGGGGGAGTGAGGAAGGGAAAGTGGCAGGGGGAAGGGAGAGACAAATGTATTTGAAAAAATAAATAAATTAAGTAAAACAAACAAAAAAAGCAGCAAAAAAGAAAATGTCAAAGTAAACAGACAATTTGTTTTGAAGCAGAAATTGATAAGATATCATGATCTAATAATTTAAATGACTTTTAACTTAAAATACCACATATAGTAAACCTGTAATCAATTAAATGAGAAAGCAAAATGAAAATATTTATGCACATACAAAAAAAATTATATGTACCTCACATATACTCCTTTTAAGGAAGTTCTTGCAGGTATATTTCAGGGAGATGAGTGGAAAGCCAAAGAAAAGGAAGATATGGGATACAAGAAAGATTAAAACTAACCCAGAAGCTTAGTAACAAGAAGTCTTGTCTTTTTTTTTTTAACAAGGTAAAATAAAGGCACTTGGAAACTTTGGGAAAAACAAAAAGTTGTGCAAGATATTTATAGAGGCAATATAGAAGGTAGCATGATTTTGAGCAATTGCTAGAGTATTAGAAAAATATTTTTTGGCTTATGATTCTAGGAACACCTGTTTCAGGTAATACTGGAGTGCTGACATTGACCATGTACAGAAGGAAATAGAATCCTAGCATTTAAAAAAATCTATGCAGTTAATAATACCTACATAGTGATAATAATGTATATACTGTTTAATGGGTTTTGACTTTGAAAATTGATCTACACATAATCTGTGAAAGACTAAAAAACCTAAGTTGAGATGTAAAGGTTAGAGAAACCTAATGTTACATCCTGAAGAGACACAGAATATTGTATAAAATTATTGATAATTGGAGAAGAAATAATCTAAGTGTATTATTTCAGGTTACAAAGGTTTAAAAAAGAATAACTAAAAATAAAATAGCCAAAACTGAGAAGAGAAGGGCAATAGTGTGGGTTAAAATCATCTTCTGAAGCATGGAGTTGTTAGATAACACCTTTATAATCCGAAGTAGTGATATGAAGACATTATTTAGAACTATGAAGAAAACTACTAGAGAAACAAAAGATAGACAAGTGCATATGAGAGCAGGCCTGGAATGAGATGTGATGATTTTGTCCACAAACCCTGTTCTACTCCATGACTTTTTTTTCACATCAATTATAACAATAACATTTTAAATGAGAAAAAAAAATGTAGATTGAAATGTTTTTACACTATGGCATCAAAAATAGACCAAAGCAGCTGTCTTAAGTGCTTGCAATTTTTGGTTAGAAAATGCCAGTTGGTTTATTTCTATAATTTTTCTGTTTAGTTTCTAAATGAGGAAATAGAGAAGGTTTCAAACTGCTATTTGGCATTATTTGTTCAGAAATCATACATTGTGAATAAAAGGCTTTTTTTCCATAACCATAAGCCAAGTTAAGTTATTTTTACTATAGTTTCTCTTTTTACATTGATTTTTGAAAAACCAGAAATAGTTTTATGTTGCTATGTAAGACTTGTGTCAGATAAAGACATGTTACAGATCTAGTGGAAAATATTTGACTACCTTCTTTGGAGAAATGCCTGTTCAAGACCTTTACCTGCTCTAATCTGGTTGTTTGTTATTGAGTTTTAAGAGTTCTTTTATATGTCCTGGATATTAATCCCATATCAGATATATGATTTACAAATATTTTCTTCCATTCAGCGGGTTTCCTTTTCACCCTGGTTCCACACTTTATATAGACTAAATTAAATGTTACAGAAATAAGAATAAAAGAATGAAAATTACATAATGGTCCACCCCATCCAATGAGCCAATTGTGTCTACTGAGTGATGACCTTCTCACTAACTGGTATGTGAGCTAGACGTCTCATCTAATCCTCTCATTGGATAAGCATTTTGTGTGTTTCACACTTTCTGTTTTAAGGCTTAAGTTTTTAAAAAGTTAAAAAAAATAAAAACTTACCTGGCAGGGGAGATACCATGATCACAAAGGTGGTTTTCCCAAGGCGAGGCTTATCCACTGCACTTCCCGGATGTGCTGGCCCCTGCGATTTCCCCAAACATGGGAAACTCAACTGCATAATTTGTGGTAGTGGAGGACTGAATTCACAGTCTCCCCTGAAAAAATTAAAAAATAAAGTAATTATTGTATTATTTTTATAATTGAAATAAAAACAGTAACCATTTTATCTTCTACCAAAGTGAACCCCTTTACCCTCCCTATTTATGAAGTCACTGCTTTGAGATCATCCAGGACTCATCAGGGGCTCCATCACCAGGAGTGGGAAATGCTGCTCTAGAATTTCCAGGCCTCTTACTTCCCCTCGTCATTTCCTCCCTCAGACTCTGGGAAGGGCCAACGACACAGGTGCTCTCTTACACCTATACTGGTGAGGACAATTTGGAAATACAGTTTTACAATTTAAAATCGGCATTTTTGCCAAGAGATATCCCCTCTGCACTAACAAGGATGATTCCAAACTCAACTCTCAACGGCTCATAGGTGTCCTCTGTTGCCTTAGCAGTTGTTAAAACAAGTAAATTCTGAGGCCAGGATAACAAAACTGCTCTGGAGAAGCTCCAGGCTAGGAGGCAGGCCCACAGCAGGCACCTGTGCTTGGCTCCCTGACCTGAGTCCTGCCCCAGTGTTGAGGGTGTTGTCCCATTTAATTAACTTATGCAAGCTAACTACTAAGAAGATTCAGTGCCATTCTTATGAAAAACAAATTATCAGTTAATATTAAATTTGAGGTTGTTTGAACATTCTGTGAAATCAAAGCCCAGCTATAATTTTGGGATCATTAATTTTAAGAAACATGACTTTCAAAGACTATGATCATATTTCAAGAATACACTGACCACTGACATTTGAAATAATATTTTAATTTTTTTTCCTTTCACAAAAGATGACATTTGTTCCTGGGAATTTCTTTCTTGGTAATACATGTAAAAGCTTGAAACCAGATGAAGCTGACATTCTAAAGTTTTAAAGTTTTCTTTGATTCTTTCAAAAAAGAGGAAAGGAAATATAAGGGAAAGCCACTTAATATCATTAAAGTGTCTTTGAGGGTATGATAGTATTGTGCTATGGAAACTTAAAATGAAGATGCTTTCATAAGGTTTGAATTTGGGGGTTTTCTCTAACTTTTTCCACTCTTCTTTTGCAAAGACATAAAGGCTGAGGCCAACTAATACATGGTGTCCCCCCTCCCCACTTCCTTAGGACATATCTTGGTTAATACAAGGCTTCTTCTGGACAAGTCACCTCATGTCCAGGTGGGTGGCCAGTCTCTCTCTAGCCCTCTCCAGGTCATTCTCTCATTGCCAGCCTCCTAACCTTAAATCAACAACAATAAAACAAAAAGAGCACAAATAACCACCTTCTAATTTTAGAAGATAAGCAGTATATGTACAAAAGAATGAGATGGCTCTACTTATGCTGACATACAATAAAATAATGTATTATAAGTGAAAAAAACCAAGTGACAGGAAAATAAATTCATATGATTCTATTTGTTTTTTTAAAAAACATATGTGTATGCATGGTTTTAAGCAATAAATGGAACCACACATACATACACACCCAGGTATGGGAGCCCTCTTTCATGGTGAGAGAGAGAGTGTGTGTGTGTGTGTGTGTGTGTGTGTGTGTGTGAGAGAGAGAGAGAGAGAGAGAGAGAGAGAGAGAGAGAGAGAGAGAGATTCCTCCCAACCTCAAGAAGAGCTGAGGTTCCACTCTGTCCTCTGAGGGTACCTTGCTTAGAAATGTTCTCAGCTTAATGTGGTTCTCCCTGTGACCCCAGTGTTGCCATGGGCTGCCTCGTAAGCCTGCCAGAGGACCCAGGGAGAGAGAGTCATCTTGAGTTTCCCCAAGTCTACTTACCACTCAAGGTGGTATAGGGTTGACACAGTTACAGAAGGAAATTGGGCATAGAAGAGTTCAAGATTTTGCTAACTTACACCTTCTCTTGAATTCCAAAAGGTTGTTCCTAAGAGGGCGTGGGTGTGGTCCATTGGTGTCCCAACATTTGCTTAAGCTGACTCTCCTCAGAATCTCATCACTTTTCCAAAAGTTCCCGTCTTCTAGCCCACAGTAGAACCACCTCCACCCACACATTTTCTAAACTGCCCATTCCACTGCGCAGAAGTGTTTAGGATCTGTCCCATTTCTTCCAGGGATATCTACCAGACCCCTTTACTCTGCAAAATTGCACCTCCTTTTCTACTCTAGGAAGTGCTCAGAATAAAATTCTTTTTGGTTTTGTGATTCTGGTGAGTGAGGAGTAGAAGGTGGAACCAGTTTTTCTAGGAGTGTAGGGGCAGGGCTAGGGTTAGGGATTATCTATCTGTCTAATTTATAAATACTCTGAGAAAAGCTGCAGGGATCTGTGGGAGGCAAATAAGATGGGAGGAGGGTGTGTGGAGCTTTCACTCTCACTCTATGCATCTCTGTATTGTTGAATTTTTCAAAATGAGCATGTTTTATTTGTGCAATGACAAAAATAAAAATAGAGGCTTGGTTGGCTAAATGAATTGTGGGTTTATGTATAAATTTTCTATTTGCCTACTTTTTAAGGATCAGAGATACTATCTGAAGTAAAGATACCACGAAAAGTAATGCAAAACAAGCTAAGGGAGATGCTGCAGGCACAGGGCTTTCTCAGACATGGTGGTATTTGTGCACAGATAATTAAATTTAGTGGCAGCCTACTTTAAAACCACTTCAAATATATAAAAATATAAGGAAGGCAAGAAACCTACTTCATTGGAAGGACACACACAGGCTGAAAGTAGCAGAATGAAGAAAAATATTTCATGCAAATAGTAACAACAACAACAAAAAAAACCTGGGATAGCAATACTTACATCAGATAAAATGGACTTTAAAACAAAGGCTATAACAAGAGACAAAGAAGGACATTACATAATGATAAAGGATCAATACACAAAGAAGATTACCCTTGCAACTATATACACACTCAATATGTGAGCGTCTAAATATATTTTAAAAATCTTGATGGATATAAAGGGAGAGATCAACAGTAATACAGTCATAGGAGGGAACTTTAATATCCCATTAACATCAATAAATAGATTTTCAAGACAGAAAGTCAACATGGAAACAGTGGCCTTATGACACATTAGATAGGATGGATTTAACTGATATTTTTAGAGCATTTCACCCCAACACAGCAGAACATTTAAAGGGCACATGTAACATTTTCCAGTATAGATCACATGTTAGGCCACAAAACAATTCTCAAAAAATATAATAAGATTGAAATCATATCAAGCATCTTCTCTGACCACAATGGTATGAAACTAAAAATCAATCACAAAGAAAAAAACAAAAAACACACAAACACATGGGAGGTTAATAAAATGCTACTTAGCAATGAATAGGTTAACAATGAGATCAAGGGAGAAATCAAAATATACCTTGACAAATGAAAATGAATACACAACAACCCAAAATCTATGAGATACAGTCTAAAGAGGGAAACTTACAACATTACAGGCCCACCTCAAGAAATAAGAAAAATCTCAAATAGACAATCTAAATTTACACCTACAGGAACTAGAAAAAGAATAAACAAAGCTGAAAGTGAGTAGACAGGAAATAATAAAGATCAAAGTGAAAATAAATAAAATAGAATCCAAAGAAAATACAAAAGATCAATGAAACCAAGAGCTGGCTTTCTGAAAAGATATACAAGAGTGATAAACCATTAACCAGATGCATCAAGAAAAAGAGAAGACCTAAATACATAAAATCATAAATGAAAGAGGAGATCGGTCAAGATGGCAGTATAGGCAAACATGGCTCACCTCTTCGCACAACCACATCAAAGTTACAACTAAAATATAGAACAACCATCACTCAAAACTGTCAGAAATCGAGTTGAATGGAAGTCTGATAACTACGGAATTAAACAAACCACATCCATCGAGAATGGTAGGAGGGACACAGACATGGAATGCGGTGGTCTCTCACCCTGTGGTGGATAAAAACTGGGGAGGGATAGCTTGGGAGCAAGGAATCCCAGCCCCACACCAGGCTCCCCAGCCCAGGATTCCAGTGCCAGGAAGAGAAACCCTCACAATTTTTGGCTGGAAAACCCAGCAGGGATTGAGTTGGTGGAAGAAAGTTCTGAAGCCCCAGACAGTTCCTCTTAAAGAACCCGCAAACAGACTCAGCTGCTCAGACTCATTCCCTCTGAGCTCCAGTGCCAGGGTAGCGCTTGAAAGGCACCAATGTTATACAGGGAGAAAGTGTTTGGCATCAAGGGGAGCAGAGGCCATTGTCCCTTTGCTAAACCTTCCCCCTACAGAGTTGGTAAGCTATTGCCATATCTGAAGCTACATCAACCTGCCTAATGGTGTTTGAGCCATCTTGGAGATGCCCAGAGGCTCTGCTCCACGTTTATTACAGGCCCCTTCAAATGGCTTTTCCATATGAATAACTGGTCATGGTTCATGCATCACAGCTTTCTAAATCCTATCAAACAAGCAACAGCTGGCCTCAGCGGGCACTAACAGCAGCCAGATTAGTTTCACAACTTGGCTTCACTGGGAATCTCCAAGCCCAGCATACTAATAGCCATCTCAGATTGCTATACAGCTCAGGAAGGGAGGCACTGGGCAAAACACAGGTCAGGGCTGGCCTTGGCCTGCACCACCCAGGAAACCCCAAGGCCAGTGCACTCACTGCTCTGGGCACCCAGGACAGCTCCAGACCACATCAGAGCACTGCCACTCTGCCGCTGCACAGCTGATCCTCCATGGAGGGTGGAGGTTCGTGGTAAGTGCTCACAGCCAATCCTTGCAGCTGACTGGCCTGGGTAAATCTGTCCCATTGATCTGCTAACAGCAACCAAGGCTCAACTACAAGAGGAACGTGTACTCAGACCACACAAAGGATGCTCATCAAGAACTCAGCTTGGGTGATAGGGGAGGCAGTGCCATTGGACTCTACAAGACACCTACTACATTAGGGCATACTACCAAGACACAGAGTCCAAACATCTCTACCTAACACATAGAAACAAATACAGGGAGGCTGCCAAAATGAGGAGACAAAGAAACATGCCCCAAATGAAAGAACAGATCAAAACTCCA